TCAATCTACATAGAAGTAGAGATTACAACAATATTATGATGCTGCTGGCCTGGAGTCTCGTTCATATTTAGAACATTGTATGTTACGTTTCTGAACACGTCTAACCCTTGTATTATCTATACTCCATAGTGTTCTGAGTTTGCGTACATTTCTAAAGCGAAAGGTAGGACAGTAAAACCAGATGTTATCTGGGGCTATTAAATCGTTATTATTTCTTTTAACCCTGTTTTCCTTTGGTATTCAGGTTCACTGATATCCAACAGGTAGTTAAATTTATTTGCAAGAATGCAGATTTAGAAAATGTACTGCAGGAAAAATGTTGATACAATGACACCAAAGGAAACATAAGTTAAGACAAGTGAGTACGTAAATTTATATCTTCATTCAAAACGAATAGCTGTGTGAATCTTAATTTACCGGTCGGCTTCTGTGTTCTCTACGATGACCATAATGGCTGCTGGAGCGAAGAGAGATTTTCTAAAATTCTTCTGCACAGAACAAGGACGTGGAATTATGATATACCACATTTTCTAAGCAGATAAGGGGTCCCATTGCGATATCTCATAACCCAAAGATATGTACATCACTGACTATTCCAAATAACGTATACAGAGGAGTAAACTCCCAACTCATCCCCATATTTACAAGTATGTGTGTCGTCTACTGAAATGGGCAGAGGACAGATAGCTCATTGTGTAGCTTTGTGCTTAATTTCAAAAAGACATACTATTGAAATGGGCTCATCCATGGCCATGGAATGGACACAAACAAAATGATACAAGCTTGTAGCCATTGTCGTATGTAGTATTTACTTAAGTAAGAACATTAGCACGTGTTTACGACATCAGGTATACGAGCATGTCCTGCACGAAAACTTAGAACAATTGTTTGCATAAACTTGAATAAACAAATATTCTATTCTAGTTATAGAAGGATGAAATTAGTAGTTATTTCAGCTACCATATTCTACACTCCAGTAACACTACATAAATTACAAGCCCGAAGGAACAATATTTTATAAACCATATGCCCGAACAATTAAACTAAGTGAGATAAATGGATACTGAGGTAGCAATGAGACTAAGAATGCTATAATAGGACTCTTTAAATGAGATGACATGTACATGATAGATTTTTTGCGTTGGAGGAAGAATCTAATAAAACATTCAATGTGCTCTACCTGCAGACTTAGTACTCTCTGATATATTACCATAACACGTTATTATATGTAATATTATGGATTCATAAGCTTAACTACATTTAATGGGTAGGAAATTTTAAAAAGCAAGCCAGAAATTTAGTTTAAATGTAATACGTAATAATCTGCTATTTTCTGTTAGACGTTTTCCAGATACAGTTTAGCTAGAAATTTTCTTTCAAGCCTAATTTATTAACACGTTTCTAGTAATAAGGTAACAACTAGCGACAAATGTTCAATATCTATAATTATATTTATAAGACTACTGTCGTAGTCTAACTACCTAAATCTAATTTACTTGGCATTAGGTAAACCGATATTTGTAAAAATGTATTTATTTGTGTTAAACCTTATAATCCATTCATTTCTAATACCCAGTTTTACATATGCAGGGCATCATTATATAGAACGAATGAAAGAACTAAATTATAAAGACGAAAAATACGTTGAAAGATACCAGAAAATGTCTTCACACATTTGAGGAAACCGTGATGCTTCGCCATCCAAAATAGAATATACCGAACATGAATATCCTGTTTTACATTGCACAAAATATAACATAAAACTTAATTTCTATCGGATCTCTTTGAGCCTGAGACTCGAAACCTGTTTTGGATAGTTTTTAAATTTGAAGGCAAAAACACTATAATCAGGCAGGTGGCAGCACTGCCTATGTAGGGATGACTCGGATTGTTCATCGAAATGGTATTTTAAATATCTCCTCATTAGGTTATCTGAACTTTACAACACTATGCAATGTTTCCTTTTATAACAATATATATGTAATGACTGAGTCATAAGGTCTGTGGATATCTGTAAATATCATAGCAAAAAAGTTTGAATATCGTTGTCTTCTTTCTTCTTTTTATTACATGATAAATTAAAACCCAAAACAATGGTGTCAACCAAATTCAATGAGGTGGCATAGTTTCAAACGGAGTATCCGCTTTTATAAGTATTATAAAAACTAATAGTAATTTAAGAAAATTATAATTCTAGTGTAAACGATGTTATCATTACCTCTTGAAGTTAGCTATTTACAGAAATTTGGTGTTCCTTGAAAAAGTTTAGGCACAGAGTGAATCAGGAATTACCAACCAATAATAAATAAACAATAAATATTACAGTTGGAACTTAGTTATAACTACAACCTTCCTTGGTCTATTGAAAAACTATATTAAAAAACAACAACAACAAGTAAACAAGTGAAGAAAACGTTTCAAAAAAAAAAAGGAAGTAAATGTAGGGATGGCTAATATCAATCCTTGAAAAATAATGCAAACAAAATAGTAGAGATCGCATTTGCATCATCCCTACATAATAGCACAGGCACACAGTGTAGTAGAATGTTCACAGCAAAAATAGGATAAATTAAACTTTATTTTGATTGAATAGTTGTATATATTGCTATGTATTAATGCCTCTGATATTATGTAGGGATAATGCAAATGTCATCCCTATTATCTTGTTTGCATTGTTTTTGAAGGATTGATATTAGCCATCCCTACATTTACTTCCTTTTTTTTTTTGAAACGTTTTCTTCACTTTTT